AACATACCAAGTTTAGTCGCGCGCTAGTCAATTAGGGCCTGAGTTAGAGAGGCGGAGAGAAATATGATCGACAAGATCAAGGTAAAGGTGAAATAAGGCTAGCAGTGACCTGATGGGCCAGTTTTTACCCGATCTCGGATCATCTTCAAATTTGGCATGAAGGTGCGTTATTGGTAAAGCGAAGACGCAATCGTTTTTGGTGAGGGCGGAGTCATCGTTGCGCATGGTAACAACATTTTTGTGGAATATATTGTAGAACCTGTAACTTGTGCTGTTTTTACCGGATTTTCATGGAATTTGGCACACAGGGCCGATATAACATGTCCTATAAATATATATATATATATATATTTGAATGATAAAGGTCGCAGTGACCTGGTTTTGGTACGCTGCTCACCTTCTCCCCAAGATGTGTAAGTATACCAAGTTTGGTAGCGCTAGGTGAATTAGGGGTCGAGTTATAGAGCGGAAGGGAAATTGTCTGCGGCGGCTGGGGAGACATGAAACCATAGTATCCCCGCCGACTTCGTCACGGGGGATACAATTAGCATACGTACTAAAAATAGTCGCTAAGGCGAGTCTACAAATATTAAACAATTTCCCCCTATTTTGCCTCACTAGAGAGAAAGGTGCTAATAAGCCGCCAACCTGCATACAAAGACCATCCATCTATAAAGGCCACTTTTCCTGTTTCCTTAGAGAGGCCTTTCTATACAGGTTTGACTGTATGACAATAAGTGAGGTTACACAGTATGCATTCCACAGTGATTCTGTCACCTTTATGCAATAGTATTTCGCTTCTGCCATCAGTTCCATAATATCTCGACTACCCTCTGGAAGTGCCAAGTCCCCATCTCGCAGGAAATTAAGGATATATCCAAAATGTTTTCCAGGTCTGTCAATGAGAATCCAACCTGAAGCATTGAGAGAAGATTACAGCATTTGTTACTAGAGCTCATAGGGTCTATGTCCCCCAGGGTACTGCCAGAATGTACCCTGGGCACGGTCCGGTATACCGGAACGTACCCTGGTAACTATTTGATATGGTTAGGGTTAGGGTTAGGATATAGGGTTAGGGTTAGGGAGTAGGCGTAGGCGACTCCCTAGACTCGTTAGTGGAGTAGGCGAGGTATGGTCCGGCATATTAGATAGTACCAGGGTACGTTCTGGCAGTACCCTGGGGGACATAGACCCTCTCAGCGTTACTAGATGCACGCTGCTGCACACAAACTATCAGAAATATAGAGCAGGTGGGAAAGCGTGAGCACCAAATGCACACAATGCTCGCTTCTCTTTACACCAATCGTTCACCACCAGGCATTTTACCAGATTTCTCTGAGTAAAGTGTGTAGTACCAAATTGAAAGAGTTATAATTCGAACAAGTGTACATTCGCCTACATATAGATACAACAAGTGCCGCAGAGCGACAGCGCTCACCTGACGGCAGGTGTTCTGATGCTAAACTCAGGGGCAAACGAATCAAGAGCACCCTCCCATCACCGCGTTCGCTCTCCCTCGTTGTCTCTCATTCTTTCTCTTTCGCTCTCTCGCTCTTGCTCTCTCTCTCTCGGTCGATCACACTCTCGCTCTCTCTCTCGCTCGATCACACTCTCGCTCTCTCTCTCTCTCTCTCTCTCTCTCTCTCTCTCTCTCTCTCTCTTGCTCTCTCTTCCCTTCACG